GGTAATTCCACTAAAACTCTTTATGTACGTGTGTGTGTGTACTAATGGGGCCAGAAGTGGTCACTGAATACACTGGGAAAAAAACAAACACTATATTGTGACCTGACACAGCGTTGCTGGAGACTGAATTGTTTTATCCAAGAACATCTCTCCAGTCCCAACCAGGGATAATTCATGAGGAAAATTATTAAGATGCTTTCTAGGGAAGGGATAGGAAAGAGTAAAACATTCAAACTGTGTCAGCAAGGGGAACAGTGGGATGTAGGCAGAGGTGCTCATACTACAGTGCATTTCCTCACCTCTATATTGACATAGACTTAATGTGAAGAAGCACAGAGGATAATACAAATGGTAGAGGGATTGAGGGCCCTACTAAGAGATTTGTTATTAGTTTCCCAGGCAACAATGACACTCTAGGTTGTCATGAATACCACAGATCTTGTTGATGTTATGCTTTATGTGAAGATACATTAGTCTTCAAAGTGTGGCATAGATTATGGGGAAGAGTCCTTAAAGCAGGGAAGCCACTAAGACAATGAAGCTAAAAACCAGGTGTGAGTCACTGATAGTTTTATCTGGAGGTGGTAGCATAAGGCTGGGCAGTAAAGCTCAAGTGTGGAGCTCATATTGCAACCATTACCATAAAAACCTATAAAAGTGGCTGCTCCTTAGGAAGTGAATCTTTGATAACTGTCCTAAATAAGAACATAAGGAGGAAGATCATATTGTTGAAAGTAAGTTATTCTCAACCTTTGCTTTTTCTTGTGTAATGGTGTATATTATACAAGTGCATTATGTTGTTACTATCAATGGCAGCCCATCAAGCAGTGTCAAAATCAACAATAATAATATTATCGAGACATGTTTGCTTTTATCTTTAATGTGTTTGGCCATCATCCTGAGATAGTGAACAGGTCCTTTCCTCCTCACTATGACCAAATACTTGAGAAGAGCAATGTATAGGAGCAACCCTAGCTGGTGACTCCAAGTCTAGTCATGTGAGAATAAAACACTAGCCATCACACCCTTGCTAACACTAATACACAAACTACACACACACATACAAGCACCACACCATAATTCTATACACACCTCATACATTCACTACACAAACATAAACACACAACACTGGCATTCCAATATTGCTTAAAAACAAGAAAATTTGATTTTTACTCCATATAAATTTTTGGCATTTGAGCTTATTGTCTTAACTAATATCACAGGTGTCATATAAAGTTGTCTTTGTGGGCTGAAGAGAAGGCTAAGTAGATAAAAGCACATCAAAGAATCTCAGTTTGATTCCCCAGGACCCACATTGGACAGCTCACACGCCTGTATTCCATCTCCTCTGTCTTCTACAGCCACCTTTACTCATGTGCACATGTGCATAGCCAAAATTAACTCTTGCTAACAAATGATCTTTGTTTGATATAAGTGAATATGTTTACCATCTGGAGCACAAGTTAGAAGTTCTGTTGGAACATGAACTGGCTTTAACATGTGTTTTGTTTTTAACATTGGAAATATAAAGCATTGCAAAGTAAATTTCTAAGTAATTAGTATGAGATGCGTACAATTCTATGAGTCAAATCTGAATTAGCATCACATGAATCTGTTTATTCCCCTCACCTGATTTCATCTATCAGAGTGTAAAGGCAGTGTGAAATGTGTGTAGTTTTAGAACTTAATTCAAAAGACATTTGCTTCTTTGGTAAACAATGAGAAACATAAGTTATCAAGTCAGATTTGGTTGTTCTTCTGTGGATATCTTGTCTAATGGCTTCTAATGGTGTCTAATACAATGCTGGGAACAGAGCTACATCAGGTGCTGTGCTGTGATTATGTGATAAGCTCACTAATAGACATTTATTTATTTATTTATTTATTTATTTATTTATTTATTTATTTGCTTGTTTGAGGAACCACCCATCCAGTCCTTAAGTAGATGATTGCTAGCTGTTTTTAGTGAGAATGAAGAGGGAAAAAAAACAATTAAAAATATAAACCATTTAAAGCATCAGTCACAACAGGTCCAGGCAAAAATCAACTGTAATTATTAAGGAGATTAGTGTTATTATGGAAAACTCAGGACTTTTCACTGGAATGATAGAAATACTGCCTGGAAGATAAGGTACCCCAGAGTAGGAATATAGAAAGCTCATTTAGAGAAAAGGTTCTTGGGAAAATATTCTCTTTTGACACTTTCAGGAAAAAAGGCCATGCTAGGAAGTGTTTTCCTCAATTTAGCCACTTAGGCATGCAGGAGCCACTCACTGCATCAGGGATGAAAAGGGGCCCGGCTATGTGGAAAGCTGGCAGAAGAACTCAGTATCATCTGCATAGTGCTCATTGTGAAGACATGAAGAACATAACAACCCCTGGTCATCAAGGCTTGTTGTTAGGTTCAGAGAAAATCTAGGGGTGGAAGGCACTGTACAGCAGAGTCAAAGTCCCTGAGAGCCTTACAAGGCTGGTGAGAACAGATATGGGACAAGCCTAAGTTAAAACAATTACCACTGGATGTTTGCGATTCCAGGAGGAGCAAATATCTGCTGAGGACAGCTGGATAGTTTGAAAGCCATATAGAGTGCAGGCATGCCATAAAAGCAAAGATAGATTCTTTCAAATCTTAACATTTCAGGATCCTACTCATTTTAACACCTGATGAGTCAGAACTTCCTAGAATTAGAACACAAGACTCATCTCAGAAGTTCAAAGACCCATCAATGCCATGAGGCCACACACAGCCTTTGGAGCCTTTCAGTTCTGAGCAGTCCTTCCTTATGCTCCTCACGGATCCCAGAATCAATATTCTGACACTGGAGCATGAAGAATCTTTTGTGATTGCTAATCTGAATTCTAAATTGCAAGTGAGGAAGTACTAGGACTCTATACTTGAAGACATGTGTGAGAATGGTCAGAACTGAGCCTAGCATTTTAGCTTTTTATTTTAAGCTCATGGCATTTTTCTTCAACCAAAGGTATTTTTAAAAGTCACAAGTTTGAAAGTGTTCCCCTGTTTTATTGATAGCAGACCTTTCTTCATGAGAAGACATAAGGGCTAACTCTGTCCATGGTTAGGGTTTGTAGTATGCAGCTCAGAGGGTTTGTATTATAGCAGCAGGTTCACGATAAAAACTCCATCTGGAGTACAAAAGTAAACAGCTGTGTGTGCAGACGGGAACAGACCATGGATCTACTCTGAGTAGAGGTCTTTTTACTATCTATGGGTTTTGTTGGTTGGTTAGTTTATTTTTTGAGTTTTTGTTTTTGTTGCTGTCCCATTCACAACTCAGGTGTACATGACCAAAGGACCTGGTGCCAGACATTGACATTCACTAATGATTGACCTGGGAGAGGCGCTCTGATCTGAGTTTGTGATCTATTAATGAAGGGAAAAGATGTGGACTCTTGTGTGTGTGTGTGTGTGTGTGTGTGTGTGTGTGTGTGTGTGTGTGTATGCAGAGACAAGGAAATCTTTATTAAGAGAGTTATATAAAATGAGAAATTATGAAAAAGTCAGAGAATATCTGAGGGAGAATAATTTCAGAGAGGAGAGAGAGCTGTTACCCTTCTTGCCTAGGATTTTTTTTTAACAGGGCTATGGAAAAGATTGGGCAAATGCTGATGTAATTATGTCAGGATTGGTTAGTTTTCTGAGTGATCACAGGATGAACCAGTAGAAGCCCCATATGCTCTATGGGTGCCCCAACTTAGGAGATGACCATGTGATGTTTAGGAATGACCCACCAATTTAGAGGTTGTTAAAGTCTTCCTCTATCCATCTGTGACTTGTGCTTCCTTGAATACTGATCTTGGCTGGCTCAAAGCTGATAATCACTGACTGGCATTGATACTTCTGCCTTTCAGGTGTCTCTGGTGCTGGTAAACAATTGTATCCTCATAGCTAAGAAGAAATAGCAGCATGAGACACATAAAATACTGAAAGACTGCAAAAAAGAAACTGGATTGGATCTGCACAACATTCAGCAAAGCAGAAACTAATACAAAACAAAATATACATGAGAACTTTAACTCAGGCTCCAAGAAGTAAAAGGAAGCTGCCATGGGCTCAGCAGGAGCAGGGCCAGTGTTTGCACCTGGGTTCCCGAGGAAATTCACAGAGGTATGACCAGATCTGAGACTCAATCTATGTCTTGAAGAAACACTGATAATCTGGTCATCCAAATGAAGAGTCAAAGTTTATCTCCCATTTGCAAAGAAGGAATGTGACTAAGTTCAAACAAGATTCAGCAATTGGTTAATATAGATCTTAACCTTGGTCAAAGAAGCTTTTTTTATTTTTTTATTTTTTTTTTCAGTGAGATGATGCGGAGATGCACAAACAACCAAGGTACTGAGTATAAGGGTTGAGTGTCCAAACCTAAGTGGACATCTATATTGGCTTCTCCAAAGATAGGAAAAAGCCAGAAGGGAAGGGATTGAAAAAAATGCGGACTCCCAAGCATAAGAAAAATGCCTGAAGTGCTGAAAAAAAGAGACTGAATTCTCAGCCATAAATGAAACAACTCTACCACTTTCCATCCCAGCATTCTTTACAATTCTTGGAAGAGCAGTAAAAACAAAACAACAACAACAACAAAAACAAAAACAAAAAATAGTGAGACCTAGAAAACAGGGAGAAGAGCTTCCAGGCACTGTTCTCCAGACATGACAAGGCTATTGCACACATGACTTATAGGAGCTGTGGTTACTTGAACCAGATATGCCCAAAATCAAGACAGCTTAAAAATCAAGCATGGGAGTGAAAGGGGCTTCTAAGGCCCCTTTGCTTGCTAAGGAGCAATTGAGAATTGATGACTGTTGACACAGGGGAGTCATTTTTCTTTAGGTATGTGGCCACTTGTAGGATGCCCACATAACAGTAGATGATCCCACACCCTTAAGCATATGGGCAGCACTAATTGGATTAAAATAGGTTGTGGGGGGCAGGAAGGATGAGAAAGAATAGGAGACATGAAGCTTAGAGCACTGTGTGCTCAGGATGAGATGTTTTCATAAAGTAAGTACTTTTCAAATAGAGCATGCCCCACTTCAGGCCTTGCTGGACCTAGTGGGTTTGAGTGCAGGATGCAGGTGCCTGGGGAGCACTGTGTGCTCACTGCACACAGGTAGACAGCTGAGTCACTGGGCTGGGAGTCTCTGATGTGCAGGGAAACATGCAGGCCTTTTTTATTGAGGTAAACTGTAAATCTGCCTTCTTCCTTTTCACCATTGGAGATGATGGACATCAGAGCCTTGGGGCCTTTCCCGGGATGCATTCTGTACCACCAGAAGTAATCAGAAGTACTACCATCACTGTAAGTACAGTTGAGAGAGGCCATCGATCCTTCAGGGACACTGAGGGACTCTGGGGTCTGCTGCACATTCTGTTGGCCGCTCACCCCTGTGAAGAAGACAAAGGTCAGACACACAGGACTGGTTGTATATGGATGCAGACACCCCAGAGTGGCTCTTCCATGGGCCTCCTACCCTTAACTAGAGATGAAAAACATCTGTGTTTCTACTACTGTCCTAGAGTAGACAACAACTTCACATATGACACCTTATATCCAGAAGAGATGCCCAAACTCACAATTAAACTGAAGCCACAGGAACACCAGTGAAACACTCCAGGATTGCTCCATTCTCTCTTTTCTCTTCACTGAGGATCAGCGTTTAAGGCGAGAAAAACAGTTTCACATTTGTAATGCTTCCCCTTCAGGAAACATGAAGACTCTGTGCCACCATGTAGGAAACAAAGCTCTTTTCACCAGCAAGCCCCTCCCCCCAAACTCTCCCACTCCAAACCACTTGAGAGGTCCTCCATGCCTCTGAGAAGAGACTGCCATCTTGTGGATACTGACAGTGACAAAGGATCTGCTACAAATAAACACCTTTCTGTTTTATTTTAAACATTCTTATATAACATACCAATCCCAGTTCTCTCTCCCTCCCATCCTCCCATATCACCTCCTATTCACTCCTCAGAGAGCTTGAGGCCTCCCATGTGGAATTAACAAGTCAGTCACATCACTTGAGACAGGACCAAAGTTCTTTCTCTGGATCTAGGCTGAGAAAGGTATCCAAGGGGATGAGCTACAAAAAGCCAGTTCATGCAGTAGGGACAAATACTGTTTCTACTGGTAATGTCCACACAAACTGCCCAAGCCACCCAACTGTCACCAACATTCAGAGGGCCTACTTTGGACTTATGCAGGCTCCCAAGCTCTCAGTACAGAGCCAGTGATCTCCCACTTGCTGCTTCTGTGGTTCCCCCATCAAGATATTTACTCTTTTGCTCATATTATTGCTCCTCCATCTTTGCAATTGGACTCCAGGATTTTAGCCCCTGCTAAGCTATGGATTTCTGCCTGTGCTTCCATCAGTTCCTGGATGAAGACTCTATGATGGCACTGAAGGTAGTCATCAATCAAATTACAGGAAAAGGGCTATTAAAATACCCTCTCCATTATTGCTTATATTTTTAACTGGAATCATCCTTAAGCATTCCTAGGAAATTTCCTAGTGTCATAATGGCTCACTCTATTAAGGTATTCTTATTCCTTATTCTCCCTCTTTGTCTTTTCCCCAACTAGACCCTACTGGTCCCTCATGTTATTCTACCCCATTCCCTCCTTCTCTCCCAACTCCCCTATCACTCTCCCACTTCTCATCATGCTCCCAATTTACTTAGGAAATCGTATCTACTTTTCTTCCAAGTGTGTGTGTGGGGGATCCATAAATGCCCTTGTTTCCTGGCTTGTCTGTGGTTATGGACTGATTTTATGTCTGAGTACTACTCCATTGTACCACATTTTCTTTATACATTCTTCAGTTGAAGAGCATCTAGGTTATTTACAGTTCCTGGCTCTTACAAATTATGCTGCTATGAACACAGTTGAACAAATGTCCTTGTGTTATGAGTATGCATCCTTTGAGTATATGCCCAAGAGCAATATTGTTGGATCTTGGGGGTAGTTTGATTTCAAATTTTCTGAGAAACCACCATACTGATGTCCAAAGCTGCTGTTCAAGCTTGAACAACCACCAGCAATGGAAGAGTGTTCTTCTTTTCTCACATCCTTTCCAGCATAAGCTGTCACCAGTGTTTTTGATCTTAGCCATTATGTGGTTCCAAGCATTGAATATTTGTTGTTTTTATTTCAGCTTGCAATATTATTCTTCTTAGGATTTCAATTATTATTTATTTTAAAATATATTTTTATTAATTCTTTCAGAATTTCACATAATGTGTTTTAATCCTTTTTATACCCTATCTCCTACACAATAGCACCTAGATCCTTTCCAACCTCCTCACTCCCCTAATTTTGTTTCTTTTTAAAATTTTCTTAACAACCAATTGATCTAATTTTGTTCTGTCCATATTCTCCCTGTTGTGGGGCTATCCACTACAATGTGGTTAACCTATGATCAGTCAATTCCTTAATGAAAACTGAGCTAGGTATGGTCACACACACCTTTAATCCCAGCACTGAAGAGGCAGAAGCAGGTGGATTTCTATAAGATGCAGGCTAGCCAGGGCTGCTCAGTGAGAGCTTATTTCAGAAATACAGGGGAAAAAAAAGCAAGGGTGGCAAGGAAATAAGGGAGGAAAAGTAAGGAAGGAGAAGGAAGGAAACAAAGAAAGAAGTAAAGAGGGAAGGAAAGAAGGAAGGGAAAATTGAACTGTCTGTAGTCTCTATGATTTCTCATAATGAAAGTCCAGAAAAGGAAACCACAGTTTCTCCTTTGGTTTTGTTAAGTGGATTTTTACCAAGCACATAATCATTAGTGGACAGTATTTTTCTCTTCTATCTCTTTATATATGTCATCTTGCCAATTTCAAGCTGACACAGTTTCAGATGAGGAATTATTGATCTTGTTAAAGATCTTTTACCGGCCACTCTTTGGATCAGCTTTCTAGACTATCATTTTTTCAGCAATAACATTCTATAAATGCTCAAGGCTGTTTTGATTGCCATTGTCCTCCAGGTTCATGCTGAGCTTTTTGGACATGTGCCTTTTTGTCTTCCATCAATTTTGGAGAGATTTGTGGTCAAGATTTCTTTAGCTACTCTCCCTTGCCCTCAGTCTTTCTTTTAGAATATTAATATTGATGTCTCTATGTCAGAAAATGTTCTGTGGGTCTCAAAAATTCTGTTCTATTTCTTCTTGTGTTTTTTACTTATCCTCTTCCTCCTCAGACTGGGTCATGCCAACTGACCTTCATATTTCAGAATTGCTTATCTTATGTGATAAAGTATGTTGATAAATCATCCTAGTGCATTCTAAAGCCTTTTTTCTCCACAAAGACTTTTCTCTGCCTTGGTAGAGTCTGGGTGATATGAAATAGAGGCAAGGCCTTTAGGTCATTCCTTCAGGGAGGCACCTGTTGGAACAAAGCAATCAAGCACTATTCTTTCATAACACGGTCCACTTATTTTTATCAATACCAAAATATTTCATAGACCTCATGTTACTTTTTAAGGGCTGTTTGAGCCAAAATGATGAGGTAGGGAATATATGAAGAGATCACTAAAGTTGAACGATTTTTGAGGAGTATTATAGATACTTAATATAGTAGAAGCGTCCTAAAATACATAATATATGAAGGTGCCCTAGGGGAAATTGCCAAATAATGGGGTGAGACAGTGCCAACTGAACATCTCTTGTCAGCACATGGAGCTTCCAGTATTGTTACAGGGTTATATACAATTAAGTTGTTGACCAAAATGGTCCCCATGGGAATCCCCAACCAACCAAGGTTGTTGTCAGGATTATATAGTGCTCTACACAAACCTAGGACAAAAGGAAATACTATCATTCTTTAAAAATGTAGCAATAAAATCATGCCTAATGGCATTCGACTATACTCGTAGATTAATGCATTGCTAAGCCATCACCAAAGGAACATCGTCCTGCAGCAGATAGTAACAAATACAGAGACCCATAGACAAACATTATACAGAGAATGAGAGATCTTGCAACACTCAGCCAAAAATTAGAGGTCTCCATCACATCTTTCTACTCAGGGATTAGGGAGACGAGGCCAGAAAGAGTGTAAGGGTGAGATGGAGGACACCAGAAAACAAGACCCTTTAAATCAACATGATCAAAGCACATATGAATCCAGAGAGCCTGAAGCAGCATACACAGGGACTGCATGGGGTTTCACCAGGTTCTTTGGTTATATGTTATGGTTTCTAGTTTAGACTTTTTAATGGGACTCCTGAGTGTACAAACGAGTGGGTCTCTGTTTCTTGTGCCATCTTTTGGGCTCTTTCATTTGGTTTGTTTGTCATATCCAACTCTAACATGTTAGTGTAGCTGGATGCTTTTCTCTGTCTTACCCAGTTCCACTGGATCAGTTTCTCTAGTACAGACTGAAAGCTTCCATTTTGATAAACACGAATGAATCAGAAAGATAAAGATAATTAAGAATGGCATGAGTCTTTTAGAACTATAAAACCTACTTCCAGTGGCTTTATTCAATAAGCACTCACCTCCTAATTCTACGCAAATAATTCTACCAACTTGTAACCTAGCATTCAAATATATGAGCCTATGGAAGCCACTCTCTTTCAAATCACCATATTATAGGACAAGTTTCAGGTATGACTAAGAAATTACAAAGAAAGGGAAAGAAAGAAGGAATAAAGGAATGAAAGAAAGAGAGATGAAGGAAAGAATAAAGAAGAAAGGAAGGAAAGAAGAAAGTAAGTAAGAAAGAAAGCAACCTTATCAATTGGCAAAGAATATTCCTTGTTCCTTCGTGGTGAGGATTGGTATGCAATTAATATTTTTGTTCCTAATCAATTATAAGAGCTCAGAAAAATAAAAATAGTGAGCTGTCTGTGAATCTCTAGTATATTACACATACACATTTTATCTGGTTTGCCAACAGCATGACTACTTTAACATTTCTCTAAATTGTGCCAACACGTTGCAGCCTAGAAGGATTAGGTAGTGTCTTAGATAGGGTTACTATCACTGTGATGAAACATCATGGCCAAAGCAACTAGGAAAGGAAAGGATTTATCTGGCTTACACTTTAACACTGTAGTTCATCATTGAAGGAAGACAGGCCAGGAACTCAAGCAGGGCAGCAACCTGGAGATAGGACCTGATGAAGAGGCCATGGAGGAATGCTGATTACTGGATTGCTCATTATGACTTCCTCAGAAACAAACACCCACACCTAAACACTAGCAGGACTCATGGAATTCAGTTACAGAGAAGGAGGAGTGATGAAAAAAAGGGTCAAGACAAGGCTGGAGAAACCCACAGAATCAGCTGACCTGAACAAGAGAGAGCTCATGGACCCAAGTCTGATGGCTAGGAAACCAGCACAGGAGTGACCCAGACCCCCTTAATGTGGGTGTCAGTTAGGAGGACTGGGCAGTCTATGGTGTCTCTTGTAATGGATCAGTATTCACCCCTAATATATGAATGGACTTTGGGAGCCCATTCCACATAGAGGAATACTTTCTCAGCCTAGACACATGGGTGAGGGCCTAGACCTTGTGCCAAATGATATGACAGACTTTGAAGACTCCCCATGAAAGGTATCACCCTCCCTGGGGAGCAGAAAAGGATGGGCTGGGGTTTGATTTGTGTAATAGGGGAGGATCAGAGGGCAAGGGAA